CATATATTAATTGTGCAAAATAATGTATATATGTGTATATAATGCATATGGAACATTTTCACTGCTGATTGAACAATGTTTGAATTATAGCCTCTTTATAAGATGACTTGATATTTTCTCCCTTGTTATTTACAGAAATGATACACAAGTTTGATGAGAGAAGTAGTATCAAGCTGATTTCACCAATAAGGAAGAGGTAATTCTGCAAGGGCAAAGAATTCTGAAACCTCATATTGGTTTAAAACTGTATCCACACTTATGTTCTTTCCCCCACTTTTCCTTGTATTAGAGAAGTTGAACCTTTTGTTACTGAGAGAGAACACTCCAATATTAGAATTTGTGCAATATTCTGTAGCCAACTTTATGACATCAGCACTACAATTCTGTCTTGTGTGTTCATTTGAGTCTATCAGGATGTTAAGCCTTTGTGTTCTATATGCAGTTGAGTGAGAAGTAAAATTCATACAACAGCATGTGCTGTCTATTTCTAATATGAAAACAAAATGAGATGTTTGCAAAGTATCTTTAAAAACTGTGGTGAGACTACTGTCAATAAAGTCTATCTTGGAGACTTTATTGACATATAAACTGTTCTTCTTATCCCCTCCCCAAAATGTAGATGAGTATGTTGCAAATGGTGTTTTGGTGATTAGCAATTTTATGTTGTTCAATATATATTTGCATTTTAGTGTGTTAAAACACAAATGAAACCAAGAAAGGGAAATGAAACTTTGCTAAACTGAAAAGGGGTCATAATGAATTACAAATTAATAAGGCACGAACTGAATTTCAAACCTATTGTAATCTCATGTTTACTCTTGTTAAGTGGCTTAGAAAATCTAGAATCTTTCTTACACTTCCTGTATAACTTCTCAAATCTTCAGTTTCCTTGCTGACCATGTAAGAATAATACTACCTGCCTTACAAATACACACATGTACACACATGCACACACACACATGCACACACACACATGCACACACACACATGCACACACACACATATACACACAGTGTATATATCTCTTGGCAGTGGAACTTAGAAATCCCATATCTAGAAGTGATCACGCATGTTAAATTTGGCAACCATAATATCTGCAAGGGCAGGCTTGTAATTTAAGTTGCGACTGATGAAAAAGGTAGAAGGCAATATTAGTTATTTGGGGGAGGACATCCTATCAAAGTTTTCAGGATAAAGATGAAATTTAAACATTATTGTTGCAGGAACAGATACAAATAAAAATTTTAAAGACATTTGGGAATAAACAAATCTATAAGTTAATGACATCTCATAGAAAGGGATCTTTAATATTGACCTGTGATTAGTCTATTTTACAACAGTAATAAGACAAAGAATAAATTTTAAGAAAGCACTATTTTTCCCTAAAATACAATATGAACTTCAAAAAAGAAAATGTTAAAAAAAAAAACAATAGTCTGTTTGACTGAGCTGGGTGACGGATAGTTGATCTTCTTTAAGGGAGTGAGTCTGGATAGACTGACCAGGTTCCAGTGGATGAACTCACATCAAGGAACATCTAGGAAGCTCTTAACATACATGAAAAATGCATTAATTCTGATGGGTGAGCACAGATAGGATAGGAGGTCTAAATATGATTAAGATATATTATATAAAATGCACAAAATTTTTAATAAAAAATATACAGAGAGAAAAGAACCGATAATCTGTATGGAATTGTAGGAGAGGCAATGCTATTCTTCAAGTAAGGACAAAGAAACCCCAGAGAGCATAGAAACTATAGAAGATCCTTGTGTGGGAGAAAAGAAAACATGGAGAGGGGAGTTTCAGGGCTTGACACTGGCATGGAGACCACACCCCCCATGTCAGCATTCACCCTCACCAGTATAAAGTCCCTGGACCAAGCCTAACAGTACTATGAGGACCAGTAGTCATCGGGCTGTGCTCAAAGCCAGCTTGATGCTGTCACATGTTACTTACTGAGTTCTCACAATAATACCTCAAAGCACGTTTCTTTCTGTCTTTGTTCAGCAGGTAGAAAAATGATGTTCAGGGGAGTGAGATTAGAACCAGGAAACCTACCTGGTAAATGAATGCTTTTATAGACATGGGTCTTTTCCAGTAATTTAAATCCTATTTCTACTAATTCTCTCTTTTAAAAATATATTTTATTTATTATGGTTATTTTATGTGTATAAGTGTGTTTCCTGAATGTATGCAAGGGCACTTGTGTTGTGCAATGCCCATGGAGGACAGAAGAGGGCTCGGGTTCCCCTGGACTGTAGTTACAGATAGCTGTTAGTTGCCATGTGGATGCTGAAAATCAAACCTGGGTCCTCTGGAAGAGCAGCCAGTGTTCTTAACTGCTGAGTCATCTCTCCAGCCCCGTTGCTAAATCTCTTAAGATTCACTCATTCAGTATTGTGTGCTCAAGGTGAACTTACTCCCACAACTCCAACCCCACCAAAATACTCTGCCCAAGAGCTACACACCTCAATCAATTCAAAATGATTTAGCTACACCATTTTCAACATGTAAAGATGAAGGTGCTGGTGAGACTAGGTATGAGATAGTGTAAGGTCATAGTGCAGCTAATAGCTTTGTAGCCCAGGCTTGTCTACGATGTCTTTTAAATTCATTAAGTACACTTTTGCCATTATAAGAAGGATCATTTTCTTCTCCTGGATTTTTGTTTGTTTATCTATAATGAAAAGAAAATGTATGCTGAAAACATGAATTACTACCAAATAAATCACTATCAGTTAGCCATGAAAACATAAATGCTGTTTCATGAAATGTATTTACAATGACAGATCACAAATTCAGATGAGTTGATTTGATTTAAATTCATTTTAAATTCAGAATTAGTAGACACTTGGGATGGTTTAAAGTTTGGACTGGATACAAAACAGATAATGACAATTAATACTTTAGTGTCATGAGTAAGTTATTCAATCTCTTGTGCTGTATAATTTACATAAATGTAGCTGCCAATGAAATTCATGTGTTGTTGAGAGGAGACAGTAGTCACTTCCAAAAAAATCCACAAAATCCTAAGGAAAGTAAACAGGATGGGAGTGTCATCTTCTACAGAGCTCAGGAAAAGTTACGTGACAAAGGATTCATCAAAACACATAAATTTTCATTAAATTATCAACATCTTAATTTACAAATATATAAAAAATTTAAATTATATACATTACCCATTAGGATCTTTTAGTTCATACAAGTAACTATATCATTAAAACAATCAAGTTGCTTATGAGGCCCAGTCTTTCAATGAACAACCTCAACACACATGTCATAGCTCAGTGATGGAATACATATTACGTAATACATGTATCATTCTTCGGCTCAATTTCTTTTACGGTTTTGTTCCTTCAGTTCTAATGGCTAAAGAAAATTTATTGATTTCTGATATTACTGATGGAGAATAGGACAGAAGTGACACAGTTCATCCTGCTGGGACTCACTGATGACCCAGGCCTGCAGGTTCCCCTCTTTATCACCTTCTTCCTCATCTACACCATCACCCTGGTTGGGAACCTGGGGATGATCCTGCTGATTCTCTTGGACTCTCGGCTCCACACTCCCATGTACTTTTTCTTAGGTAACCTGTCTCTGGTGGATTTCTGTTACTCTTCAGCCATCACTCCCACAGTTATGACTGGACTCCTAATAGGAGACAACATCATGTCCTACAATGACTGTGCTGCTCAGATGTTCTGTTTCACTGCCTTTGCCAGTGTGGAAAATTATCTGTTGGCTTCAATGGCCTATGATCGCTATACAGCAGTGTATAAACCTCTTTACTATTCTACAACCATGACTGCAAGCATGTGTGTATGTCTCATCGTAGGTTGCTATGTCCTTGGTTTCCTGAATGCCTCCATCTACACTGCAGATGCCTTTAGTCTCTCCTTCTGTAAGTCCAATGTGGTCCATCACTTTTTTTGTGATATTCCAGCAGTCATGGTTCTCTCTTGCTCTGATAGACATGTTAATGAGCTGGTTCTTGTTTATGTAGTGAGCTTCAATATCTTTTTTGCTATTACAGTCATCTGGATATCTTACATATTCATCTTTGTTAGCATCCTAAGAATGCACTCTGTTGCAGGACATCGGAAGGCCATATCCACCTGCGTCTCCCACTTCACTGTAGTCTCCATTTTCTATGGAACTGTCATCTTCATGTATCTACAGCCCAGTTCCAGTCACTCCATGGACACAGACAAAATCGCGTCTGTGTTCTACACCATGGTCATCCCTATGCTAAACCCTCTGGTCTACAGCCTGAGGAACAAAGAGGTCAAGAATGCACTATTAAAGTTCAAGAATACATTCACTTTTTGGAGGAAAAATAATATTTAGGATTTTAAATTTTAACATTTTGGGATTCACAATTCATTCCTCTCAGATCTTTCCATGAAGTGAGTTATGTTTAGATATTCACCCTGAAATTCCTAAGATTCTCTGTTTATAGCTTTAATGTCTGATGTCTGCCAAAACAGGAACTGAGATGTCCTGACACACACCCTTAAATTAGAATGCCTGACATATATGGAGGTCACAATTCAAATACCCTTACTCAGAATCCTGATTTTTTTTCTTTTTACCAGTATGTTTCTCACATAAGCATGCAAAAGCAAATGAAATAAGTGTATAAAGAAATCCATGAAAGAACGAATACAGACAGGCCTCCCATGAAGACAGACACACAGGGATATGCTAACCTTTCAGGAGTCATATGTAATATGGCTACTGTGAATATTTTTTAAATAAATAATATATTGAGAATTTCATGCATGTGTTCATAAGGTGTTTTGATCAAATCCATGCCCACTTCCTCCCCTCCAACTCCTCCGATATCTCCCCAACACATTTTTTTCTGATAACTTCATAAACTCTTTCTTCTTCTTTGATTTACTTATTTTGTTTTTTGACTACTCTAACATTCCCCCTTCTGAAGAGGTAACCCTAAAATTTTTTAAGGATTAGATAAAAGCTCCCAAATAGTTTCAACATTTTTGGCCATTGGAATGGAATATGTTGCTAAGAGGCCCAAGGACACTGTGAGTTTTAGCCAAGAAACTGGCAAGTTTTCTTTGGGGTCTTTTTACCCTAACTGCCTAGGGAATTCCCACCTCCTATTCTTATCACACCATCCTCTGAAGAGGTTACCCAAATTGCCAGTAGGAATTCGGGACACAGACCACTCTGGCTTCTCCCATGCTGAACAGGGACAAAGGATGAGGCAATTAGAGTACCCCTTCAGTGGGTCTATCTAAAAGATTCCCACATTTCTTAACTCTTATTTCAAGGAGGAAAAGAAAGTCTTTGAATCGTGAATAGGAGATGTGAAGGAGAAGTAAAGGGAAGAGTAATTAGCATTACAAGTTCTAGACAGTGAACTAGAAAAAAGTCAGAAGAGGGCACTTTTCAAATGTTCATATGAGAGTCCATTGGAATTTCTTAACAAAGGCTTCCAAAATCATCCCCCTATTTCCTTCTCATTTTTCTTTTGTCTTCCAAGGCTGGACTCTAGAGTGATGGATTCAGGATTTGGGTTTCAGGTATTTTGATAGCTGTTGAAGTGGTTAGAGTCAGTGTCAGTTCTCTCTCAAAGGCCTCTAAATAGCAGGAGAAAACAAATTTATCCATCATTTTAGAACAATAGCTAGTTGTCTCCCTTAGCTACAGGTGGGCATTACAATATTGCAGACCAAGATTTGAAGTCTTACATCTGAGTAGCACTTTCTGGTTAGGAACAAAATCATCAATGAGAAATAATTGTCTAAATAAGTTTTTATATAGATTTAAGCATAATGTCTGGGGAGTGTAATCCTTCAAAATCTTAAAGAAATATACTGATGAATTTACTCTTTGATTATACTTTCATTTTGGGTGTTTAAGACCATACAGTTGGCCCAAATAAATCAATTTATATTTACACTTAAGGTCATTTGAGGATCTGTTCCTCAGTGGTCACATGGGCTTGGGAGGAGCTCCTGGCTCCTTTCTTTTACCAGTTCCACCTATGTGAAGACAAGTCAAAGGTCCTGCTTGACTACATCTGGCTTCACTTGGAAGCATGAATGAGATGTTTCCTCTGAGTTGATCCTCCTCTTTGTAGACTGGACACTGGTTCAAATCCATCTCATGGGGTCTCCATGGCCTCCCTGAATGAGAGGACAGGTGATTCACTATAGTTACAGGACATTTTGAGAGATGTTCCATAGTCCCCTGCAACGTAGGAGACTTTGGAGGGCAAGGGTCAAAAACTGTCCTTTAAGTCTTTCTGATCATATTAGTATAGGCCTCAAACTATGGCTGTTAAACATCCAATAAGGTAAGTTCCACCAGTCTGGTACTTTTAATTACCATGTGCTATGTAGATAAGACTTGGGTAAAAAACCAAACATTCTCAGACAAACCATGACTAGATATATATTTTGTTCTTTATACTAGTGGACTAAACTATGACCATGACATTTTAAGATTACATGTATATTGTTTTTGTCTCATCCTTTACATATCATAACAAACCTAAACAGACCTTCATCACTTGCTTAGGCTTTCTCACTTTTTCTATTTTGGAAAATATCTCCATTCCCATATCCTTTTAACATCTTTTACTTTCTCATTTTCTTTTTAAAAAAAGTAATTATGAGACATAATAGCACTAACAAATTCTCCATCTGTTGTGAGACTTCTTTTCCTGGGGATGCTAAGCAATGCTTATTCCCTTTCAGGGTTCTAGCGTCAAACCAATGTTTGATTAGTTTTACTGGGGAACCAATAAATTTATTGAGCTTACTTACCGAGATAACCTGAGGGTATGCGCACTGGAAAGCCTTTATCCAGCATGGGTCATGCCTTCTCTTCCTAGCCTTCCCCAGATTGTATACTTTAGCCCTCCCCAAATCCAGGAGGCCACTTGTGATTAGGGTCAAATTACATACAGTTGGCTTGAAAGAGTAGCTGTATAATGTGGTGAGGATCCAATGACCCTGCTTGGCACCTCATTTAATCAATGAGCACAACCATCAACAAGTCCAATTATAACGATGTTTAGTGATCGGGCTCAGCTAAAGTTGTGATGATAGCAGTTATTTCATGCAAAAGGGACAGCGATATAGTATCGTCTTATTAAAAGGACCTAGAATTTAAAAGGATTTGGTGCTAGGATCCACATACATCATTTGTTTCTCTGAGTCTGTGTCACTTCACTTAGTATAATAGTTTCTAGGTCCATCCATTTTCCTGCAAATTTCATTTTTAAGTGTTGATTTAACTGTATTAATGGACACTCAGACAAAATCGTGTGGGTTTTTTTGTTGTTTTGTTTTTCTGTGAGGGTGTTTCCTAAAGTTTAATACTGATGTAGTAAATAGTAGAGATCTGCCCTTATATATCTGGTTGGCCATCATTGAATCCACGGAGGCCTCAACTGAATAGAAGTAAATTAACAAAAGGAAATATTTCGCATTCTCTGTCTCTGTCTCTCTCCTTTATTCCATCTTTCCATCTCTGTCCTTCTTCTCTTTCATTTAACTAGGACATTATCTTATTTCTGAATACCAGAGATACTGATCTGAGCTTGACTACTCCTGATTCCTTCAAGGCTTACATCAGTGACACATCCTCTCCTTTTCTCAGGCCTTTGAACTCATACTGAACCACCAACATTCCCTGTTATCTAGGTTGCAGACAAGACATCAAGGGATTTCCCATCCTCAAATCACATCTATAATAAAATTCATTTTATATATTTGTATATGTCTTGTTAATTCTTGTGACGGCTAATCCTGAGTGTCAACTTGATTGGATCTGGGATTAACTGAAATGAAAGAGATCTTCTTGATTGGATCATCTAAAGCCAGAAGACACACCCTAAATGTGGGCATTACCTTATGATGGCAGCCGCTATAAAAGACCAAGGCAGAGGAGAACGCAGGGCTTCTTGCTGCTTGCCTTCTCTCTTGCTGGTGAGTTCACCTTGCTGCTGTAGACTGAAGACTAGCTGATCTTTTGGAATTTGTCAGACCTTCAGCACCAGATTGGGACTACTGAGACATCCAGCCTTGTTGACTGGGCGACTACAGATTCTCAGCCTCTCCAGTGTGCTGCAGCCACTGTTGGACTACTCGGACTCTATCCTGTGAGCTAAGCTGATAAATCTCTCTCTCTCTCTCTCTCTCTCTCTATATATATATATATATATATATATATGTGTGTGTGTATATGTATATTCATTCTACCAGTTCTGTTTCTTTAGAGAACCCTGACTAATACAATTCTGTTTCATTTGAGAACCCCAAATAATAAAATAGCACTTGTAATCAACACAGCACTTGATTAGGAATTTTGAACAAAAATTTTGTCTACTTAAAAAATTTTATTTTGGGGGTGGAAGGGATGGTTCAGTGGTTAGATCCAAGTACTCTAACACCCTCTTCTGTCGTCTTTGTGCATTGCATGGTATGGGTGCACATATATACATGCAGGCATAGCAGTCACACACATAAAATGAAAATAAATTTTAAAAATTTAAGAAATTTATTGTTATTCTAAGATTTCTATTTAAAGAAATGTAATACATTATTAAATAAATGTGTTCTTTCAATATTTGTTTTATTTTTAAAAAATATCATTACTTTTTAATTTATTTTATGTGTATGAGAATGTTGCTTGTATGTATGTAAGTGCACCTGTGTCATGCAATGCCTGAAGAGATCAAAAGAGGGCATCTGATCCTCTGGAATGGAGTTACAGACAGTTCTTAGCCTCCATGTGGGTGCTGGGTATTGAATCTAGATCCTCTTCAAGAGCAGCTGGACCATCTCTTCTCCAGCCCCTTGTTTTGGTTTTAAGTTTTGTTTTTAAGAACTTCATAAGAGTTCTGTGTTTATGTCAGTTCCATCCCTCCTTCCCCCCCTTTCAAACACACTCATACAATCTACTGAGTCCATTTTACTGTTGCTTATATGCATATGTGATTAAGCCTCACCACTTGAGATTGGATAATTTATCAGGGAGTTTTCCCTGGAAAATGATTCTCCCTCTCTCAGTATCCATTGATTGCCTATAGCTCTTTATTTAAGGGTGTAGACATTGTGAAATTTCCCCCATCCACACTTTCATGGGTATTTTAATGAGGTGCATAAGTATATCATATAAATTAATATTTATATGACAATATTTAGTCTATTTGACTAAGTCATGTCATAAAATATGTCCATAATTTCTTTTTCAAAGGATAGAATATAAGAAATCAAAATATTTAAAGCATATCATTGTATTACTATATTCAAACTGTCCATTAACCAGGAGCAGCAATATACCTTTGAAATACTTTGTACTGTAAGAGC